TGCATAGGCTCTTTGCTGTCAAGTATTTTTAGCAGCACAACCCACCCAGCTCCTCCTGTCCCCTTTTGGTGAGTGATGACCTCTCAGGCATAGCACACACGTCAGCCTAAAGGTAGAAAGCCATGAGACTATTATTGGCCCTTTGAGTAAGTCTCAGAAGCACCATTTGATCAGGTCTGACTCTATTTCCCTCGCTTCACAGGCACTTCAGTAGGTAATAGCTTACCTACCACTTCATAAAATGACAAGTTTTATCTGCAATTTCTAACAGCGTGACATAATAGAAAAAGGATATAATCGAGATTGGAAAATAGTAGCTTTAAAGGAAGTACTAACAACTCTCACCCCTGGAAAAGCTGCACGGAGACTTTTAGCCACAATTGAACCAGGAGAAAATACCACCTCTCCTGGCTTGCTTGGTGTTTGTGCCTCAGGGGGACCAGGTTTTCCTGCAGACACGGTGGAAGAGAGAAAAATGAATCTGCAGGCATGCTTAGGGAAGGGAACAGATTGACAGCAATGAAATACATTCAGCACAAGCCATGAGTCTCCTCCTGCTGCTTTGCCGGGCTCTCAGGGAGCCAGAAGGTTAAGCGGGAATGCAGAGCAGTTCCTCCCTGCCCTTGGAGTCAGCACTCGCATCCAGCACAGCACTGAACCTGGTTAACCCAGCCACGCTCAGGGATCCGAAACAGCCGCGTGTGCACTGATGCCTCAGCACATTGTCCTCAAAAGGCTGGGCTTTGCTGGATTGTTTTCCCAAGGTGAGCCAAGTGGCAGCTGTCTGCCTACAGAGAGAGGGGAGGAAAGTCAACAGCATCAATTGTTGTGCACCCCTTGCAAGGCCATTCCAGCTTTTGACAGCTGAAGGGCAGCTTGAGATCCCCCACTTGCTGAGCTCTTTTGACACCCCTTTACCAGACAAATATCCTCAACTGGGGACAAGGGAAAAACAAACAGCTAGAGATGTTGCATCACAGATGTTTCAAATCAAATATGGCTTGAGACATTTACCAGCGGGAGAGTTAGAAGGCACAGAGCAGTCTACCTTGAAAAAACACAAGATTTAAATTTCTTTTGTGTAAGTCATTAGCATAATCTACACAAACTGCAATGGAGTTCCTTTCAGTGCTTCTCAAAATGTGGTTTACACTTCCCTGCTAATAATTTATGGTAATTAAGAAACTAATTAGGAAAAAAGGTATCTTTTTATTATTTTTGTTACTATTTATTTGTTTCAGAATTTTTTTATATTGATAATACATTACCTAATTCTGTCAGGCTACTGAGTTCAGGGCACACAAATTAATTTCAAGTATCATTCTGATACTGCAGAGCCTGAATTTTTTGAGGTATGACTAGACTGAAAGCAAAATACATCTATTACAAGCACTGCATGAAAATGGTCTTTATGAACTGGCTTTTAAAACTTTTTTTAGAACTGTGATTTGCCATATCTGCTTACAACAAAAGTTTAAGCTCCCAGCCAACAAGAGATATATGTTTGCATCCCCATTGTTCCAGAAAAAAAGCATCTGTCTCATCAAAATACAAACTTAGAATCCAAAATTTTCATAAAACTTGCAGAGATTATGTAGCAGAAAGGAAGGTCAGAATAGACCAGAGGTCATCCCAATAGGAGAGATGAAAGCCCTCACTTGTGTGCAGTTGTTTTGCATGCAGTGAACCAGCTAATGGGAAATTCAGACTGCATTGAGAGCAGGGACACAGGATGGAGAACAGAAGATGAAAAAATGTGTCAGTGGTTTGAAGGAAGATCCACCACTTGTCCTCCATGCTGACTTAACAACATCACAAAAGTTCATGGAAGTTATCAATTAGTACAGTGGTATTAGGAAACAAAGACCATAAAAAGAAGAAGATTCCAGAAATCAACAAAATTTCTTTCATCTCCAGACAGGGCACAGAGGCATGACAGGACAAACAGACTAATACAAAGAAGTTACAATGCCTTGTCCCTGCAGGGCAGACAAAGGCATGAAGTTTGGCCCAGGTTAAAGGCTATTCAGATAAGTTAGAACTTCCATAGACACAAAATATAAGAAGCTTAATGTATTCTCTAAGGAAAGATTTCATTCCATTCCAGACTTCTTAGAAGAAAAAAAAAAAATCAGCACAGTACCTATGAAGTCAGAGGTGATAAAATTCAGGACATTCAGTGCCTCTAAGTGGGAAAAAAATAAAGAAAAAGAAAACAGGCTTGCCAGATTAAGAGCAATATGATAAAAAAATCTTGACTATTTCTTTAGAAATAGTATTTGATAGAATTTGAACTAGAATATATAAGAAAAGCAGGTAAAATACAACAAGATAGAAGAGGCATAAATAGACTTTTCTTACCAGAGGAAAGTAACTATTTTTTTCTAAAGCATTTCCCTTATTCTAGGTCTCATCCATCATCTATCTGCTTGACATAGCAACAAAATATATTTAAATTGTGAAATTCTACCAATTCTACAAGGAAATAGGATATAATATAGGAAGAACTAGATGACACCTAAGAACTGAAATTTTGAGATGTGACATTCAGAGACACAACAGAAGGTACAACTTATGCACTTCTTGTAAAAGGACTTCACCAAAGACATCCCAGATGGATTTTAGTATTCCACCAGTGGTATCCTGCCCAGACACTTGGATAGAAAAGGACCAGCTCCTTTCAAGTGCACCAGCTGGGGAAGCTAGATAAAGTGATTCTTTGTAAATGCATTGTAATCTTTGCAAATCTCAAAGATTGAGATAGCCTGTGATCTACTAGCAGAAAAAAAGGAAAAAAAAAGCTGTTGCCATGATCCCCACACTGACAGACTCATAATCCTAAACTGCATTTTAGCCACCTACACTTGACAGAACAGGCTTGTTTTGCACCCTTCCTTACCTCATGAAAATTGCCTAGAGAATGATGACCTTTAAATCCAGAATTTATCATGTCTTCTTCCTATAAAACAGTCTGATACTGTAGCAGTTCTGTGATTTCCAAATCAATAAGTTTTAACTGTCATTGCTGCAATCAGCTGTCCAGCTTCTTTGTCCATTCTTGGCAGAGATGGATACATGCAGCCTTTTTAAAATAGTTAATGAATGACACTGAATAAGTTATTTTCACCTTGACAGTTTGTCTCTGCACAGAATCCAGATATGGCAAACTGAAGAGCCTTGGAAAGATTATGAATATGCCCAGAAGGGCACCAAAAATGGCTCTTGAAAATCTTAATTTTTCCCTTTTGCAGATTTAGTTTTCACATAGAGGGAAAAAATTGTGCACTTCTAGGAAAATCTGTGAGATTATCAATTATACATATATATATAGCCTTTCTGTCCACTTTTATATGAAGAGGGATTTTTCTCCTTTTTCCAGTTTTGCCTCAAATTAAGATTACTTTCCCATAGTACAGAAATTATCTTGGACATAACCAAGAAACAGAAACAAAACACCGCAAAACAACCAGTCATTATTCCTTTTATTTTTTTTTTTATTGTTTAGACTCCCTATTATACTGTAATTTAGGTTAAAAGCAGCAGAAAGTCCAAGGCCATGAAAAATATTCTTAAAGGATACCAGCAGTTTTTAGCACAGCTTGTGCTCAGCAATGTCTTGTGCATCTCAAGAACCAGCTATGCCAATGAAATATGTGTACCCCAAGGTAAAAAGAGTTCTGAGGCAACTTCTAATATTTGCAAGACAGGTTTCTGCTTTCTATGGTGTTCAAATGATAATTCCCTTGGGCACTTGAAAATCTCAACAGCAGTCCAGATATTTAAATAATCATTTTGGAGTCTAAGTAGAAGTAAATACAATTAATAACATACCTGGTCATCATAAGAGCATGAGCTCTCTTCTCAGCTCTGATAACAAGTGGCTCTAAGAAGACAACACCTAACTATTCTGCAGAAGCTGCCAAAGGGAAAAGCAAAAGCTTTTGTATAGAGATGAGTCAACTAATTTCCCCCTGAGTCCTTGTCACTGCACTACTGCACAGCATGTCACATTCCTGAAAAAGTATAGACCCAGCAGCTCTGAGTATTAGAAATCAGTGACCATCTTCATCTGCTCACACAGGGGTACAAAGGTATTTTTGAAGCTCAGATGAGATACTGAAAAGAGGTGTGAGGTAGCATGGTACACCCTGGGCCTGGGCAACCCATCCCCTGCTCAGTCCTGGTTTGTTTCCAGCAGAGTGTCTCACAATGGCCAAGAGCAAAATCTGGCCTCCTTTTCACCTGACTGCAGGCCTTAAAATCTCAACCAGCTTGTGGAAATAATAAACATTCAGTGAGCATATGATTAAAGGCATTTTCCTGCCCTAGTTCTGGGTGTCAGTATTCATCATGCATCCCTCCTACACAGAATTGTTACAGGTTTGAATTCTTTTCACAGTTGCTGTGTCTTGAAAACTTACTCAAATTTATTTCCCCTTCAGATTTCAAATCAAAACCAAAGTTCAAAGAAAATAATTTAAGTAAAAAAAAGTCAAATGCAAAACTTAAGTGTCAGTTTATATAAAGATTTCAAAGGCTCTGTTACTTTAATTAAACTTCAGGAAAATTAAACTCCATTTATTGTTGGATGAAACACAGAAAGAGTAAAATCAAAAGTGAGGAAAACAGTGAATTTCACCCAGAGAAGATTGATTACTCTATTACTCTAATTTGGAGGATGGTGACTGTATTTCCTCACTTTAGGAGCAAGTTAGTAATTTGGTCCATGGCAGCTCATCTCCAGCTGTCTCTTAATCTTCATGTCACCAGAGGGGACAAAGGAAGCTGCTGGAACACACTTCTCTTCCTGACACTGAGCTCTACCCACACTGTCATCACACAGCTTTGAAGCACCCAAGCTGCCACCATGGCATCTGCCTGCCTGCACCATGCCAGATTTTGGGAGAAAGAGGCTGAGCAAGTAAACGAACAGGTGAATAGCAAAAACAATGCTCGGTAACAAAAGCTAGCACCAAGCTTGTGAGACAAAAAAAAAGATTCAGTAGAAAGTTTTATTAATTAAAATTTAACGAAATTTTTGGTTGATTCGGTTTCTGGATTCCAAAGGTTAAAAGCTCAACAGTTCTGTCCTCTTTTCTCTCTTGGGATCACGGATGAAGGCCTTTCACTGCCAGCAAGTATAGGCCAGCCATGGGATGGGAGAGGAAGAACCCGGATCTGGAAACTGCTCTGCAGCTCCCTGCTATGCCAAGACTCCCCAGGACATGCAGGACACCATAAGCAGACTCCTGCAGAAATCTCAGCTCTGGCAAATTCAGTCCAAATTACTGGCTGCAAAGCAAAGTCCTTCATAACACCCTCCCCTGCAGGTTTCCAGGCTTCTCAAGGTAAAATTGTTGGCAGGAACTCACTCAGATCCAATCTTTGGGCCACCTGAATGTTACCACTGACAGCTGGAAATCTCAGAGCTTGCAGGCTTTCAGGTTTCACAGGCACCAGGGCATCAATAACATATACAGATATAAGTGAAACTTCAGAACCATTTCTTTAATTAGAAAGCTGTTGGACACAAGGTGGTAACTAAATGTCAGAGAATGCCAGGTATCACACAGTTTAGAAACACACCACCTGATGAAGAATTAAATTATGTACAAGATAATACTAGCAAAGCAGAAGAGGAGAATTTATTTGTATAATACATGAAAATAATACTCAGATGTTTCAGGTCAACCCCTGTAAGCAATTTTGTTTCACATTATGAATAACTTGGTTATTTCTAGCTCCTCCAGAAATTGAAGAGGTTTCCACTGGTAGTGTTTATCGTGTTTACTCCTGCAATTCCCCAGACCTCCTTACACAGCAGTGCTTAAGTGTTCCCTTTGGAAAAGGAAACAACACACATGGTTTTGAAGGTGGGGACATATTCCTCTCCCATTAATGCTATGTCACAGTTCTTGCACCCAACATTACAGCAGTAACCACAGGACCAATCTTTTATAGTAGTCTTAGGCCCTGCTTACATTGAAAAGTGTAACACGAAAAGCAGATTTGTAGAGCAAAACACTTGGTGCTAATTCAACATTCACTCCACATGCATTTCTAATGGCCATACTTCAAACAAAATCTTAAATGGTCCAGTAGACTGAACACTTGCCACATAGCCAAGACACACAGGATGTGCAGTATGATGTACATCATGCAGGATGCACATCCTGAGCTTCAGCTTTATTGGAAAAGAAGCCCATCATGGCTGACACCACCATGCAATGTAAATTGAAGTGTAAAACGCAGGGAGGGCTCAGAGATTCATTTCAAGAGCATTCAACTGCCCCAAGATAAGAATGGCAGTGTAGGTGCACTCTTGTTCTCCCAACTGCTTCCCACACCATCAGTATCCCTCAGCACTGTGGAAATATGCAGTGCTGAGTTAAGATCGACTCAGACAAACTGATTTTAGTTGGAGTGAGGGTTAATTCTTTTCAGGCTTCAGCATCTATCCTGGTGATACTGACTGCAATATCAAAGCCTTCATCTTCTATATGCAACAGTCAAAGTAAGCAACAGTCATTAAGCCACACAGTCCAATTTTAATTAAGCAGACCATCATCAACCTGCAGTCCTCTAACTTTCTTCTCTCTCCTTTGCAACAGTAGTCAAATTTTAATTAGATATGATGCAAATCCAGGCTGGATAAAGGAAGTTTTCCCAATTAGTCTTTTCACTTGATGACAAAGTACTCTAAGCTTCCTCAGAGACTTGCACTTCAAATGACTACTGACAAGATTAAGGATTGAGTTATGTTCACTTTTTTAAAAAAATTCTAATAATGAATCACAAGAATATTAACTGCTTGGTGTTGCAAGTGCCTGGAGCCAGGCTTCTATCTATGCAACAAAACTGTTTTCATATGCCAAGCCAAGATCAACTTAAATTTATTGATTACATATTTTATACTGTCAGAAGCTACAAAACACAGAAAATATTGATAGCCAAATTATCTGGCTTAATATACAATAGATTTTAGAATCATTTACAAGTATTTTCAATAACGAAAAACTCCATTAAATTACAAGTTCAGCAGTTAGTGCACATAAAAAGAAAAAAAAACAAACTACCTTCAACTTGATATCTGATCTACAGTTTTAACCACTGGTGTTACACAGCTGGACTAATAACCTGAGGGCATGAGGGTATGTGTTCACAAACAGAGGAGTGCTCATTTTCTTTTCTCATTTACAGATTTCTTTTAATGTAGTTTCTAACCAGAGAATTATCCCAGCCCCCCCCAAAAAAACCCTACCCATACATTTGCTTTTATATACAATTTTAACACTATTTTGAGACTTGGTATATATTTTAGTACTGATAATCAATATTTCTTAGGCTATTGCACTTTCTATGAAACACTAAGCCAAAGCTTTATTAATTTGTCTGAGACACAAGAGGACAACTTGCTTTTCTTGGAAAGTGACAACACTGATAGTCCACTAAAAGAAGAGAACAGTTTTTCTAGGCTAGTTAGAATATCCATTATAGGATGAATATCCTTTAATAATAGTCTTTATTATGAGAATAAATACATAAAACAAATGCAATATATTAGCCACATTTCTTCATATACATTCAGAATAGAACAAGAAGCTAATCGGCATAATCAGCAGAACTAGTTGAACAAACAAATTCTTAGTAAGCCAACAACACTAGAGGAAAGTTGGAATGTTTATGCACCCATAGCAGACAAAGAGCATGTGATTTCAGTATTTCCTTTATATTCATTTTAAGACAAACACACCATAGTTGTAAGCACGAACTGCATGAACTGACAGAAGTGTTCAGCTCCGTGCGGTGGCCGTTTGAGGTTGTTCTGACTGCAACTGCTTCCCAAGGTATTCCCTGAAATACAACAAAAAAATTAGATTGAGAAATGTTCTGGAGAGTGGGTAGTGCAACAGTGGTGGAAATTATAAAGTTGATAAAAAAGAAAAAGCTTTAAGTTCAGAATTAATCCTTCAAATAATGTCTACTATCAGTAGTCAACTGGAGCAACAATGAGAGCACTCAAGCTTTAGATATCCACCATCTGCCACATGAAAATAAAGTACAAATCACACAACAACAAAGCTGTCTAGATAAGGAAAGAGCCCAATGGGAATATTTAGAAGCCCTGACAACTGACATAGAACACCCATGAAGCAGATATATTTTGCTTGTTGAACACACATTTTAGAAGCTGTGGCAAAACATTTAAAAGTATCCCTTTCCACAACCCAGCTGCAGGAGCACAAGTAACACAGAGGACATAGTGGCAATACAACCCACAGGCAAACAAAACAAACACTGACTCAATAACTACATATTCAAGGTGAGAAAAAGAAAATATAATCAATCCAGGCCCACTGTATATCAACATTTCCTTTAAAGTGTTTTCCTCACCTGCACTTAGAAAATAAATGGCTTAGTGCACTTCAATCTCTCCTCTCAACTCTGGAACATCTCCCAGAACACTAGCACTTGCCCTGAGCAACAGCATCTAAATTCCATGGAAAAATACTGCACAATAGTTCTGAACGTTACAATCCTTTACTCTCTCTTATGAAAGCAGATCAACACTTCACAAAAAAGAACCACAAAAGAGCTGAAAGCAGTCTTTAGTAATAGTACCTGGGATGCTGCTTGTCACAGAAAATACATAATTGTACCACTGTATCAAGTGAGAGAGAGATTTCAGGACTTGTGAAATGTAGGCGTTCTTTTTCTACTGCTGATCATACACTTAGTACTGTGCTTTCTCACTACACAGATATTTCAACCTACACAGGTTAAGCACCAGAAGCATCTCAGAGGGATGATGTTCAGAAAGAAGTCTCAAAAAAATCCCCACCTAACTCAAGAGTATGTGCTTTTGCTTTATTAAAAAAAGTAAATTGAAAAGATCAGGTCTTTTGCACATTTCAAAAACTAGTAAACTAGTTTTCAGCTTAGTGTCCTGTTGAACAGTTATTCCTCATGCATTGCAATTCCTATTTCACAGTGAAGTCTAGCACCTCAACTGCACCACCCAACACCACTTCTCTTAGTTTTTTAACATTAAGCATCCAGAAAAGCAAAAGTTTCTATAAAATGTTAACTTCAAACACCACTAGCAAAGAAAATAACACATCATTTTGTATGCTGAACCATATGTTATGATTTAGCACCTTCATTTACAGCTTCATCAGGTGCTGTGTAAAATCACAGTATTTTAATGTTTGGGCTCCACTTAATAGATACAACTCTTGCTTATAACAGGCAGGTTATCACCCTCAAAGTAGAGGCTCCTACTGGCAAAGAAGGAAATTAGCTCCTCTCTTCTTTTGCTGGACTCTCAACCAAAAACACAGCCAGCAACTATGGAAGAGCTTCCACACTCACCAAACCTCCTTCTGCTTCCTCTGTTTTTGGCTGTCTTCTTGTTTTCATTTGTTTCATGCCTATATGCACGTACTCACTCTAGTATTTATTCTCTGACATCCAGCCTTGAAAGCAACTGATGCTTGCTGCATAATACATGGCTCTGCTCGTCATATTACAAGCCCATAACATTATTTATTCTTAAGGCACAGAAGAACAACTATTGCAAAGCTTACACTGTTTCAGATGCATGACCAAGGCTTTCTAAAAACCCCACCAGAGTGCAGTGCAGTCTGCAAAAATCTCCAAGGCAGCAGAGCAGTAGCACATTTTGTAGGTACTTAGTGCCTTCACAGACATATTCAACTCCTACAGTAGGTAGAACAGTATCTTCCCTACAAAACCTTTTGTTGGTGTGAGATTTAAGTCCAGGGTCAAGGAGAAGCTCTCATCCCATTTCCCCATAGAAAATGAATACCTGTCATGCTGCAAACCCAAGTGAAAATATCATAGTGCTCCTACCCCATCACATCTTTAGCCACAACCAAGGACCACTGAAATGCAAAAACCTTGCATTACAAGCTGTTAGAAAGATAATTTTCTGTTTGGTTATCACTTCTATTTGAGGGTCACTGGTTAACCCAGGACAAGTTATTGCAGTCTAGATTAGATGAACATGGAACCATAGAATGGTTTGGGTTGGAATAGACATCAAAGATCATCTGGTTCCAAACCCTCTGCCATGGGCAGGGGCACCTTCCACGAGACCAGATTGCTGAGAGCCTCCTCCAACCTGTTCTTGAATACTCCATAGGATGGAGCATCCACAGATTCTCTGGGAAACCTCTTCCAGTGTCTCACCACCCTCACAGGAAATAATTTCTTTCTTATATCCAATCTAAACCAGCACTGTTTTATTTTACAGCCATCATCCCTTGGCCTTGTGAGAAGGCCCTCTCCAGCCTTCCTGTAGGCCTCCTTTAGGAACTGTATGGCTGCCCTAACATCTCCCCGGAGCCTTCTCTTGTCCAGGCTTAACAACCCCAACTCAGAGCTTTTCCTCACAAGACTGGTGTTCCATGCCTCTAAATCATCTTCACAGCTCTCCCTCTGGACCTGCTCCAAAATGTTAAGTAGGACCCTGTTCTCCCTCTGCTAAAATACATATTAAAAGAATAAGAAGATTCAAATGTTTTATAAGTACTGGTATTTTGTCACATTAGGAGGTTAAGAAGCACTGTAAGCTCCAAACTTCACCCATAAGTTTGACGTAAGTGTCCATCTCCCTGCTATTACAAATTAGGGGTCTAAGACTTTATCCTGCACTGATACTTAGTTAAATCTTAAGAGAAAAACTGGGACTTTAAAATTACTATTTACCTCACAAAATTAAAGTCACCTGTAAGAATGCAAGCATTCAACCCATTGCACTGTAAGAGCATGCACGATGAAAGGACGGATCTTGTCATAACAGATCAGTTAACAGAATATTCAAAATAGCATCTGAGATTTGTGATGCATGCTACAACAGAAATTAATGAAGTGGGTATTAGACTCACTTCTTTTCTTAATTGCAAGCTGTAAGCCCATGACTTGAACCACTAAAAGATATTTTAAACTATTTTCCTCACACTGTAACAGAAAGACCTTTATAAAAAGGTCAGGTTTAAGCATCTTTTCACTCCCTTCGACATAAAACTATCCTTATTAAAAGCAGATGAAGCTAGTGCAAACAAGTTTGCATTTACAGATAACAGCATTCAGACATGAAACAACTGATTCAATATAAATGTATAAGAACAAAAAAAAAAATACTATTTCTGCACTGCAGAAAAGCTTCAACCATGCAACTGCAGTACATCACTTTTGAGACTAACTATAAAATCTTCCATTTCTCATTCAAAGCTCAGATCAACAAGACTTGAAACATCACACATTTTCACTTTCCTGGTTACCCAAAGGTCTGATGGTGAAGCATAAGTAATTTCCATTTGAAAATTAATCTTTTCATTCTTACTAGAACAAGTGAGATTCCTTTCACACTATAAATTCCCTCTTTTTCGTGGCTCTTTTTAAACACACATTTTCTGCTGTTCCCAAAGTATGTTTTCCAAGAAGAAAAGGAGGCCTAGAGGTGAATTCATGAATTCATTTTATCTCAAATTTTTAATCTAATTTGTTTCTTCATTTTAATTTAATCAGTTTTTGTTTCTCATGAGAGATGCTGACACCTTAAAGCAGAGATATACCTAAATGTCATAATTGAAACAAATGCTTAAAAGTTTATTTAGGAAAAGGCACATAGAACTGATCCAACATGTCATGTAAGCCCCTAAACTCAGTGAATATGGAAAAAGGAGATAATTGCAAACTGGCACAAGACACTACCTACAAATTTTATACTAATACATACCATATACTAAAAGATCATTGTCAACAACATATATGATAGAAGGGAAAATTATAGGACACATACAACAGATCCCTAGAGGCCATGTGTTAAAAGAAACAAGACCTGAAGTTAAGTATTATTACTTTCAGTGTCATACTCCAAAATCCAGAGCAGTCAAATTACCTTGTCCTTTAAAGGACACTGAAAATTAATGAGCAAAGGAAGAAAAGTATATGAAGCACAGAAAAAAGGGAGGGTGAAAATTTCATATTTTCTCTTTTCTAACATCAAGAGACAGAATGTCTTTCTTTGACAAAAACCAAAATAAAAATATTGATTTTATTTTTCTCTATCTAAACATAAGCCTAGAGTCGCATACTTTTGAAAATTAAATTGAAAAGCTAGTTCTAAAGAAATCCTTCAAAAAGCCTGACATTTGACTCAACACACTCAAAAAACATTGGAAACATACACTGTTTACAGACAAATCATAAAGATATGACAAATAGTTAAATAAGTTCACAAGACAGGCAGCAAATAGACTAGTTTGAATAAATTGATCAGTTGCCAGCCTTATATTGCATTTCTGCTAGAGGTCTAGTAACCTGGAGAGAAGTTATTAGATTAGAAAATGATGGAGCAGTTTTACTAATTTATTGTGACTTTACAAGTGTGTATTTGAATTACACCACTGATGCATTCCCAATTCCAAGCAGGCTAAACTAACCCTTGAAAACATTGTCTTGTAAGTTTTGACACTCCACAGATTAACCATCCCTGGAACCTCTGAGCAGTACACATAAAGCAGCAACACCACCACAAGGCTGCAACCATCTGTCTAGTCTCCATCGAATCCAATGTGAGACAAAGCTGGAACACTCACACTTTAACCCACTCCAGCTGTGTAAGCCTTCTCACAGGGCACTCGGTATTTTGGCGAGACAATACTTTTTATGCATTTAACTCTCAAGTGAATTGCAGTGAATTGCTTTCTACAAACAAGCTCCCTTGAGCGTGTTTACTGCAGTGTCGCATTAACGCTGGTGGCGGCTGGGAGAAAGGCAAGTGGAGCTCCACAGGGGCCACCACAGCTGCATTTGCCTCCCCATAG